ATTAGGTGTGATAAATATGAAATATCACGTTGAGACTTGTTATCCCCATGCATATGAAATTGAAATTGGTTAAATAAGCAGCTTAATAATACCAGATGCTAAGTTGTTGTATTTGACACATTTCCTTATTTGAAGATAATGGACCCAGTATTTGTCCTCAAATTTTTGTCAGCAGCTGGAGGTAAATTGGTTTTGGTGATAATATGGCCTGTCCTGTTGCTGGATCTCGGTGGTGAACTAAAATTTCACAGATAAAAGACTGTTCTAACTCTACAGCATACAGTGGCAAGAAAAAGTAAGTGAACCATTGGGAATGACCTAGTTTTCTACAGGATTCGGTCATTAAAAAGGGATCCAACCTTCATATAAGCCACAAGTAGACAAACACAATGTGATTAAGCTAAAACAGTTATTGCTCTCCTGTCTTTATTGAGCACACCCATTAAACATTCACAGTGCTGGTGGAAAAAAGCAGTGAACCCTTGGAGTTTATAACAGATTGAACTACCTTTGGCAGCAATAACCTTAAGCAAGCACCACCAGTAGCTGTGGATCGGACCTGCACAACGTTCAGGAGGAATTTTGGACCATTCCTCCTCACAGAACTGCTTCAGCTCAGGCATATTGCCAGCCTGGTGTGAACAGCTCTCTGAGCTCATCCCACAGCATCTCTGTTGGGTCAAGGTCTGGGATCTGACCAGGAAACTTCAAATGGCAGATTTTCTTGTTTTGAAGCCACTAGATTTATTTCAGTGTTTAGGGTCATTGTCTTGCTGCATCACCCAGCTTGTTCTGAGCTTTAGCTGGTGGTTAGTCTCCCTGACATTATGCTGTAGAAGTCCTTTATAAACTTGGGAATTCATTTTCCCCTCCACAGTGGCAAGTGGTCCAGGTCTAGGGGCAGCAAAGCAGCCCCACATCATGATGCTCCCTCCACTGTATTTTATCATTGGAAGCATATCTTTTATTATATTTTTTCACATTTATGACCAAATTCTGTAGAAATCCATGTAATTCTCAGTGGCTGACTTACTCTTTCTTGCCACTGTAAGAAGGAATGAGACAACTTACTGTACTTATTTAGCAGAATTTGTAACATGAACACCTTTCCCCAGGGAGGCCCAGGACATCTGTACCTGCTGAAGAATAAAGTCGCCACCTTTGCCAAGGTGGAGAAGGAGGAAGACATGATCCAGTAAGACTTCATTTTTGTAGGTGTAACCAGTCATCTATGAATATTTGTTTAGGGCTGGGGGCATCACCAACCAAACCAAGTTATTTGAGCAGATTATTCAACAGCGTGCTGACCGAGAGAGAAGAATGATATCTTATTAGTCACATGTTTAGCATACTGTGGGTAGTGTGGTTTTGCACAGTACAAAAAGTTTCAGTGTTTACATCCCCGTCAGCCATGCTTCATTGGAACTTTCAGCAAATTGAAAAGAAAGGAATGGATGGATGGGTAACAAAAATCTGCTTTTTTTTTTGCAAATGGTTATACACAATTCACTGACACTTGGCATAAAAGCACAGTGTGAAAATCACCATCCTTAAAGTGCCTCGAAACTGTGTTTAGAATTGCGGCT